GGCCGGGGCTCGTGCCCGTGGGGGCGCTCGGGGTCCTGCGACCGGACCGTGGGTCTAGATACGGGGCTCAGCCCTGACCTGGGGTTAATCCGGGTCCCGGCCCGGTCCCGATCCGGGTCTGGTCCGGTCCAGGGCTCAGCCCCAGTCTGGGTCCGGCCCCGGTCCGGGGCTGGGCACTGATCTGGGTCTAATCCTGGTGCAGGGCTCAGTCCCAGCCTGGGTCTGACCCTGATCCAGGTCTAATCCTGGTGCAGGGCTCAGTCCCAGCCTGGGTCTGACCCTGATCCGGGTCTAATCCTGGTGCGGAGCTCAGTCCCAGCCTGGGTCTCGGCATGTACAGCTCCCAGCTGTACTGGGGCACTGTGCGTTTGTCCCATGGGCTCCCTTGCCGGGGCACCTCTCCACAGCGAGAGACCAGAGACCAGCCCCGCAGCGGGGGTCCCTGGGAGGGAGCGGGGGGTTCCCCCCGGCCCCTGCGCGTGGCTGGCAGCTCATCCGCTGCCCTCCGCGCCCCAGAGCAGCCCAGCCCTGGCTGCGCTGGCGCTGCCCCGCACAGCAGCCTGCGGTCCTGCTCCCACCACCCTGGTCACCGCAGGCTGTCCAGGTCAGAGGCTTGCAGCAGGGCAGGGCTGCTGGCTCCCAGGGATGCTCTGGGGACCCCGGGCTGTGACCCATGCCAAAAGGGAGGATGCCATCCCATAATACTCCATGCAACCTTGTTAACCCTATGCCAGCTCTCGGGCTATGAGGGCAGTGTGGGGCTCAATGCTGCTGCCAGCTTCCCGCAGCCTCCGGTGAGCAGGGCACGTGTCCCACGGGCAGAGGGCTGGGTGGCCCGGTGATGCCCCAGCTGCGGGCAGAGCTCCAAGGCTGATCGCCGTCCCGAGAGTGCATGGAGCCAGCCCCAGGAGATGCCGGCTGCCCCTCCGGGGGCCCAGCAGCATGGGCACAACTGCCCAGTAGTGCCCCGGCCGAGGACAGAGAGCCCTTTCAGCCCGGGAGTGACAAAGCCCATAGGAATGCAGCTCCATCCCATCCCCATCGCGTCCCTGCCACTACACAGCCCCCACGACTTGGCCTCCCTCTGCATGCAGAGCCACCGGAGGTGCCCGCACCCAGCACCAGGCCGTCTCTGCAGGGCACAGCAGGACTGGGGACAGCCCCTGTCCCCAAGGGCAGGGGTTTAAGCCTCTCTACCAGGGATCGGGGGCTCAGCACCAGGGAGCCTGGCCACAACCCCCAGACATTGTGACCACGGCCGGAGGCTCCAGGCAGGGAGGGCACAGGGCACAGGGCTACAGAGCCGGGTATGATCTCAGTTCAGACCCCATCCCCAGCAGGTCTCAGCCCCAGCACAAAGCCCCAGACACTCGGTGAGCGCCAACGTTGCTTTATTTGGAAGGTGAATCCATAGGCACCAGAGACAGGGCTGGAGGGGTACAGAGCTGGCGTGACAGGCAGGGCTGCGGGAAGCTGGGGAAAGGCACTTGTGGCAGCAGAAGCCCCGCTGGGCGTCTCCGGCAGCCTGGGCCAGGGGCTGCACCGGAGCAGGCGGGGGCAGGCGGTGTCGGGGACCAGCCCTGACACAGGGTAGGGGCAGCGCGTCCTGCCCAGGGAAGGAGTAGGTGGCCTGGGGGCTGGCAGGGCCCCCGAGCACAAGGGGGGATCGGCTGGGACAGCACCTCACGATGGAAGCAGTGGCTCAGCACCAATCCCGGACCCCTCTGTGCCCCAGGGGGATCACAGCTGCTGCTCTTCACGCCAAAAAGGCACCAGGGAACCTCAGGCAACAGCCAGAGCCTGTGGCCAGCTGCTGGGAACACTTGCACCACTGATGTGAGCCCATGCAGAGATGGGGGCAGACCCTCCCTCGCACTGGGAGTGATGGAGAGGACCTGCCCCCAGGGAGGGCAAGGAGGGCTCCTGGCAGGGCAGCCCCAGTGCAATGCTCCTCCAAAAATCCCCAGTCTCTGGCTGCCTGTTGCTCCAGTCGGCCCTGCACAGCCCCCTCAGGGCTTGGCACTTGGCGGGCTGTGGAGGCTGATCCAGGGCCAGGAGAGGCCTCCAGTCGGCCCCACCACAGGCGTCCTCTTCTGTTCCCCAAGATGGGCTGTGTCCCCGCAAAGCCTGGCCCCAGCTCCCCTGGGACCACAGTGCTGGCAGGAGCCCAGCACCGCCATGCTGCCGCACTCACCCTTTCCCTCCACTTTGCTCCGGTCTCCGGGCAGCGCAGGGCCCCGAGATGGAGCCAGAGAGTCCCGGGACGAGGGTTTTCTGGGATGATAAACCAAGTGCCGCGGAGCCAGGCAGGGCTGCAGGGCAGTCTCCAGCGCCGCTGGCGAAGCTGTGCCTGTCCCTGCCAAAGCAGCCGGGCCCTGGGGCAGGCTCGATGGCTCCAGATGGCTCAGAGCCACAAACCTCACTGCAGGAGGGCAGGACCCGGTGCCTCGCTCCCTGCTCCCCCAGGGGCACCTGGCCCCATCCCCAGGCAGTACAAACCCCAAGGCTGGAGGAATTTACCCCCCGCCCAGGGTCACAGGACCAGGCTATGTCCCCGCTCACCCTTCCTCTCGACCCGCAGCGATGGAGGCCTTGCTGCCCCGCGCGGGCTCAGACCCGAAACGGGACAGCGTGTCCGGGGGGCCAGGGTGATGCTGGGTCAGGCTGTGCGGGACCTGGGTGTCTCCGCATCCCCAGAACGCAGGGCAGGGAGGGGCTGAGCCCCGCGGGGCTATGGCAAGACAGCGGACGTGTTCAGGCCAGACAGGAGGAGGGGCCCGGGCTGGGGAAGCGGAGATCAGAGCCTCCGTTAGGGAACTGCACGGTCGGGAACTGCAGGAGGGGGTTGCCAGTGGGGAGGGGGGGGTTTATGGCCACCCAACCCCACTACGCACCACTGCCCCCTGCTCAGCTCCCCCAGGCCAGTCCCCCTCCACCCCGGGGACAGGTCGGCACCCACCTGAGCAGGCAGCGTTTGCAAGGCCGGGGGCAGGGGAGTTGGGCAGGGGCCCTGGGGGGCTCCCAGAAATTGGGGTCCCTCTTAGGAGCTCTCCGCTTGGGTCCTTCCACTTGCGATAGCCTACGTCTGTCCGTCTTTTTGTCCAGGGGTGGGAGAGGGGCCTGTGCAGCGGCTGGGTGTCCACGCAGTGGGATGTGGGGGAAGCCGTGCTCAGGGAAGGCCCCTGTCTGTCCATCCGTCTGCGCAGGAGTCTCCGGAGGAAGCGCGGTGCAGTCAGCCAGGAGGGGATGGGGCGGCAGGGTCGCTTCGTCCCAAAGCAGGGCTGTGCTCTGTCCGCGGGCGAGGAGAAGGGGAGCCGAGCGCCGCGGGGTCTCAGATGATGTCGCGCTGGTCCCGGCAGCGCCGTGACAGGCAGTAGAGCCCAGAGAAGAGGTACAGGCAGGCGGCGATGCCCCCGCAGACGGAGGCGCTCAGGTAGGCGCTGTAGAGGCAGTGCTGGCTGTAGCCCGGCAGGTTGCAATAGCTTTTCCTCCCGGCCTTGTAGCCCATGATGCCGGTGGCGGCCGCGTAGAGCCCCACACCCAGCGCCAGGTCGTGCACCAGGTTGGTGAGGAGCCAGCGGGAGCCCAGCCAGGGCACCAGCGCCCAGCGCCCCAGCAGGCTCAGCCCGAAGAGGGCCAGGGTGAGGAGCCAGACCAGGACGGCGGCGAAGAGGGCGAAGTGGGCCGCCCCCTCGTACTTGTGAGCCGCCACCGTCACCCAGAAGGCAGCGCCCAGCGCCAGCTGCCCCAGGCGCAGCAGGCCC